ATGGTAAAAGATAGAAAGACCGGCATTCCATGTTCGCCAGGCATTATATAGCCTCGTATCCCGCTGGAGGAGGAAAACCATCAGAAGACAAACGAGAAGCGCATGAGGGAGAAAGTTTTCTTGAAAAGATATTCACGCGCTATTTTGTTTTTCCTTCTCTTTTCTTTCCTTTTTTTTTCTTTTCTTAGAAGTACTTTTTCTTCTGCCTGTCTATTTATTACACTGCTGTATCTTGAAGATTTATATGTGCTATTTTAGATAACGATTAGATAAGGATGATAATGATAATGGTGATGATATTAATGATAATGGTGATGATGATAATGATAACGGTGGTGATGATAATGATAATGGTGATGATGATGATGACATTAGCCCTAGTGATAATATTAACAATCAAAATAATTAAAGAAACTAGTAGGAACAGTAACAATAACAACAGTAATAACAGAAATAGTAACAATAATAACAGTTACAACGTAAAAATGACAAGATGGGCTAATTGTATTAACAGCAGAAATTATAACAAACACTAATGGTGCTAAGATAACCATAATGATAATCATAAACTGGAACGGCAATTCTTCGTCGTAATATGGAATGATAACAACATTGTTGATAATAGAAATGAGAATAATAACTATGATAATTCCAGTAAAATTCATACAGATAATGATGAAAATATTACTATCATACGGATGATATAGAGAGTAATGATACTAACATAATAATAAGAACAATGATAAAGATAATCATCATAATCATCATGGTAATGGTACTATTCCTTCTAATGAGAATAGTAATAATAACAACAAAAATAATGATAATGATAATAATAATGATAATAATAGTAATAATAATAATAATAATAATAATAATAATAATAATAATAATAATAATAATGATAATGATAATAATAATAATAATAATAATAATAATAATAATAATAATAATAATAATAATAATAATAATAATAATAATAATAATAATGATAATAATAATAATAACAATAATAATAATAAAAATAATAATAATGATGATGATAATGATGATGGTGATGATGATAATAATTATGATGATAATAATAACAATAGTAATGATGATAATGATAATGATATCAATAACAACAACAATAAAAAAATATAATGGTTACAGTATTAACATTAATAATAATCATGATAATGACTACAACAAAACAACAATAATAATGATAATAAAAACAATAATAGACAATGAAATAATAATAATTGATAATGAAAGTAAAGATAATAAAAAAATAATAATGATGGTGATGGGATGACAATAATGGTTATC